AATACTAATAATGCTTTAATATACATATGCATAACGCATTTGGAAAATGCAATTTTAAAAAACTTAATCCATCAGAATAATGAATAAAGTTCAAATAAACCTGGAGGCCTAGTTTGTTCACAAACAAATGACCCCTAAGTCATCAAACATTTGTAATAAACATGCAAAGATTTGTAATGCTTTCACTCACTATAATGATTTTACAATTTATCAGCAAAATAATTAGGCTAAATTAGTTATTACTTGCAAAATTCAATCAACATTGATTTATGATTCCTTAAAATAGCTAAATGGGCTTTAAAACAGAGCATATTTATACAAAGACCAGTAAAAATCTCAACCAATACATCCGCTATAAATAATCATGTCATGGAAGAGGAGGATACAACAAACATAAAACTTAAAATAAGATTAATAAATAAGATTAATAAAATAAGATAAAATTTGGTATAGGGCTGAAACGATTCCTTGAGTAACTTGATTACAAAAAATCATTGAGGCAAATTATTTGTCTTATTAGTTCGTTTACGTCTGTAAGAAACATCAAAGGCATGTGATGCACTGGACTTATAAAACAGACTCAATACCCACAGTAAATACAGTTATTCAATATCTAAAATAATAATGTTCATGCCACATTATCAAAGGCACAGCTGAATGTAGAGAGGCATCATTTATATTGGCTTGAGCAATGGCAGGAGAGAGGATGTCTATTACGGTTTAAATAGAGGAAATCTGTAGGAGACAGAAGGAAAACTGAGCAACAGATCAGGCCTCATGGTCAGAAAAAACAATGCCCTTGTGGGTCATTTTACCCTTCACTTTATTCTGGGCATTTTACACTTATTCCTGTCATGTTTAAATACTAATAATGCTTTAATATACATATGCATAACGCATTTGGAAAATGCAATTTCAAAAAACTTAATCCATCAGAATAATGAATGTTCAAATAAACCTGGAGGCCTAGTTTCAGTTCACAAACAAATGACCCCTAAGTCATCAAACATTTGTAATAAACATGCAAAGATTTGTAATGCTTTCACTCACTATAATGATTTTACAATTTATCAGCAAAATAATTAGGCTAAATTAGTTATTACTTGCAAAATTCAATCAACATTGATTTATGATTCCTTAAAATAGCTAAATGGGCTTTAAAACAGAGCATATTTATACAAAGACCAGTAAAAATCTCAACCAATACATCCGTTATAAATAATCATGTAATGGAAGAGAAGGATACAAAACATAAAACTTAAAATAAGATTAATAAATAAGATTAATAAAATAAGATAAAATCTGGTATAGGGCTGAAACGATTCCTCGAGTAACTTGATTACAAAAAATCATCGAGGCAAATTATTTGTCTTATTAGTCCGTTTACTGTAACTGTAAATAGGCCTACATCTAAATGCCTCTTCAGACGCAGCTTCTGTGTTTCCTTCCTGTCCAGTGATTTTTGCCTCTTACAAAAGTCACAAAGCCTTCCAAGAAGACAGTAAAGGCTTATGTCATGCTTGAGCTTTAGTTCGGCTGAAACTTGAAAGTTAAGTTGTAGGTTGTAATGTTTACCTTTTTAAAGTAATGTGAAATAGATTTTTGTCAAGGATGTAACGATTCACTCAACTCACAATTCTGATTTCACGATTCGATTCACAATTTTTTTTTTTTTACGAAATGAGATTTAAGACTAATTATAAATTAAATGTGTCCTTTTATTATTGCTTGGACAAAATGCTGCACATTTCTTTGTGAAATTGAAATATAACTATAATAATATACTAATATAGCACTTGCATATTATTGCT